GATGATATGATGCAACTCGTTTAACATATATATGACAGGAATACCCTGGACTACTAACACTGTTTTGTCAAGACTTAGGGTGTGATTTCAGAGGGAAATAGATTGCAATTTGGACCGCTTGTGGAGCAGTCAGGTGCAATATATTTCCTGGTGTTCACACAAAGCATGTGGAAATGTGCACCAGCCTGACCTTCATCCATGCCCAAATTGGAACTTTTTGGTCCAGCTGTAGGGCTCTGCGTTTTAAGGCTGAGCTGGAGTCTTCAAGGGAAACATGCTCCTGTATGCCAACAGTGCATCTAGTTGCTGAAACACTGAATACCTCAGTGGTCTCAAAGGCATTCTGGGGGGGGGGGGGGCTAAAAAATTTTAAAGGTGCACAAATTGTCTGGAATGGAATGATATCTCTCCTAACAGGCACTGGGCCTAAGCTACAGTCATGTGAAAAAGAAAGCACACCCTCTTTGAATGCTATCGTTTTATGTATCAGGACATAATAAAAAATCATCTGGTCCTTAGCAGATCTGAAAATTAGGCAAATACAACTTCAGATGACCAACATCATATGACATAGTACACTGTGTCATGGTTTATTTCACAAAAATAAAGCCAAAATGGAGAAGCCGTGTGTGAAAAAGGACACCTTGTGATACACTAGCTTGTACAACTACCTTTAGCAGCAATAACCTGAAGTAATCGTTTTCTGTATGACTTTATCAGTCTCTCACATCGTTGTGGAAGAATTTTGGCCCACTCTTCTTTATAACATTGCTTCAGTTCATTGAGGTTTGTGGGCATTTGCTTATGCACAATTCTCTCACAGCTCTCGCCACAGCATTTCAATTGGGTTGAGTTCTGGAATTTGACTGAGCCATTGCAACATCTTGATTCTTTTGTTTTTCAGCCATTCTGTTGTAGATTTGCTGGTGTGCTTGGGATTATTGTCCTATTACATGACCCAATTTCGACCAAGCTTTGACAGATGGGTTCCCATTTGACTCTAGAATACTTTGGTATACAGAGGAGTTAGTGGTCAACTCAATGACTGCAAGGTGCTCAGGTCCTGGGACTGCAAAACAAGCCCAATTCATCAGCCCTCTACCACTGTGCTTGACAGTTGGTATGAGGTGTTTGTACTGATATGCTGTGTTTGGATTTTGCCAAACATGACACTGTGCATTATGGCCAAACAGTTCCACTTTGGTCTTGCCTGTCCAAAGGACATTGTTCCAGAACATTTTTGATTTGTCCAGATGCAACTTTGCAAACCTAAGTTGTGCTGTGTATTCTTTTTAGAGAAGAGGCTGTCTTCTGCCACCCTTTCCAAACAAACCAGAGTTTTTCAGTCTTTTTCTAATTGTACTGTCATGACCTTTAACATCTAACATGCTAACTAAGGCCTGTAGAGCCTGAAATGTATCTCTTGGTTTTTTGGCAACATCTCTGAACATTTCATGGTCAGACTTTGGGGTGAATTGGCTTGGATGTCCACTTCTGGGAAGAGCGGCAACTTTCATGAATGTTTTCCACTTGTGAATAATCTTCTTCTGTATAATAATGGCCTTTAAATTGTTTGGAAATGGCCTTATAACCCCTTATAACAATTGCTTCTCTGCTATCATTGCTGATGTGTTTCTTTCTTGGCATTGTGTTAACACTCATCTAAATGCTCCAGACCAACAAACTGCTAAAACTTCATCTTTTATACAGGTGGTCAAACTTGCTGATGATCTCAAGGGCATTTGGGTAGCAGCACCTGACTGCTACTTAGTCTCTTAATTCCTAAGGAGGTAGTAATGGTGTACTTAGCATTTCACACATGGCTTCTCCATTTTGGCTTTATTTTTGTTAAATAAATCATGACACAGTGTAATATGACATGTGTTGTTATTAATTTGAGGTTGTATTTACCTATTTTTCAGTCCTTAAAGACCAGATGTTTTTTTTATTACGTTTCGATATGTAAAACCCTGTAATTCAAAGAGGGTGTACTTTCTTTTTCACATGACTCTGTTTAGAAATTTAGAAGTAATTACCTCACCAGCAGGTTAAAGTGTAGAGTAGCAATGTTCTCTTTGTTATTTGTAAGAGTAATGAATTAAATAAAAAACAGGAGATGCCACTACATGTTGGACATTAAAAATAGCATGACACTGAGCCCTAGATACTGTGCTTTCAATTGAGAACTGGTCTTGCTATCACTATACTTATTTTGCTCAGCCTTTGAACTGAGGTCAGGAGTATTATTATTTTTTTCAAAGAATCTCAGTGTGGTCATGCACAAGACTTCATGTTCAACCATCCAAAATGGGGAACATTATGCCATTGTGCAGACAAGAATGTTGCCACGTTTATACAAAATACCAGTGACTATAAGCAGGAAATTCTTAGACAACTGTTAGACACAACAGCATATGAACCAGGTGTACACTAATGAAATCATTAAAGAAATAAAAATTATATTAAAGGAGGGTTTGAGCCTGGATTGCATTAGTAATACAGAATACAAATTTGTGCTTAATAATAACCCCAGAATACTGTTTTTTTATACCTTACCCAAGATTCATAAAGCAAATAATCCAGTGTTAGGAAGACCCATAGTCTCAGAATCCAATTCAGTCCTCGAGCCCCTATCCTAGTTTATTGATCATTTTTTCTGAAACCATTTACACCAGAAATACCAACATATATTCAGGACTCTAGCGATATGATTAATAAATTAGAGGAAGTTACAATGCAAGAAAAGGATATATTAATTACTCTGGATGGAAGATCATTATACACCAACATGCCTCAGGAAGAAAGCCTTAAGAATTTTAAGAATTACTTTAGACAAAAGAGTAGAGAGACATCCACCAACCTTCTTCCTGCATTCACTACCTGCGATACCCTTGAAAAGGAACTATTTTAAATTTAATAACAAGTTCTATTGGCAAATAAAAGGAGTAGCCATGGGATGTGTCATGGCTCCAGAAGTAGCCAAATTATATATGCAGTCCTTTGAAGAGAAGATGCATTCTGGAAACCACCTCTTTGAAGAAAATTAAATCAAATTGTTTAGATACATGGATTATGTCTTTATGTCTTTGGAGGGGCCCAGAGAGTTTATTAGAACAATTATTTGGATGGCTTAATATTCTGGATACAAACATTAAATTTGATACTAATTATAAATATGATGAGATATATTTCTTAGATAACACTATCAAGAAAGAACCAGGGAAATTGTATACAAAAGTATATAGAAAATCAACAGATTGCAACACTATTTGAGGTCTGACAGCTCCCATCCTGGATCTCTACATCAAGATCTCCCATTTTTAAGGATGAAAAAAAAAACCCTGCACCAAGAGGAAGGACTTTGAGAAGGAATCTCTAATACTGATAAATCAGTTAAGGCAGGGGTCCCCAACCTTGGGCCTCCAGATGTTCTTGGACTACACCTCCCAGAAGCCTTCACCACCACCTCTGCTGGCCAGGATTTCTGGGGGTTGAAGTCCAAGAACATCTGGAGGCCCAAGGTTGGGGACCACTGAGTTAAGGGACAGAGGTCATAGATAATAGTTTTGCTAAGGCCAGTAATACCAGACTCAGTGATCTTCTAAAAAAACAAACCAAAAACCAAAATAACCTACAAATCATGTTAACTGTGTTCTGACACATGATCATGTCAATAACAAACTACAGAAATGCATAAAGAGGCATTGGCACGTCTTAGAAAGTATGGAAGGGTTCCAGGAGGGAGTAAAGGTATCATTCAAAAGAACAAGAAACCTAGATTATGTTGATTAAGAGTAAATTTAAAGACTGAGTACCACCACAAATCCCAAGCATCCTATTTATTTATTTATTTATTTATTTATTTATTTATTTATTTATACATACATACATACATACATACATACATACATACATACATACATACATACATACATACCCCGCCTATCTGGTCATTGCGACCACTCTAGGTGGCTAGAGTGGTCGCAATGGTTCTTCCCCTTCCACAGGACACCATCCCTGTGGACATTCGTACCTATTGTAGAAATACGTGTCACATGATGGAATTTAAAGATCCACAGAATGGCAAAGTATACATCCTGAAGAAATTTACAAACTGCAATACTAAAGGAGTGATCTGTGCCATAAGCTCTCCTTGCAACAAACTGTATATAGGGAAGACCTCTAGACCTCTTAAGATTAGGAGAGGAGAACATCTGAGTAATTTAAGAAATAGAAGACTGAGTAGTCCTCTTGTTGGGCACGTCACAGAATTTAACCACACAGTAAGAAATTTAATCGAAGTGACCAACATGAAGTTGACCAAACTCCAGGAGGCAGTGGAAGACAGGAGGGCCTGGTGTGCTCTGGTCCATGGAGTCACAAAGAGTCAGACACGACTAAATGACTAAACAACAACTAGAAGAGATTTAATATTCTGGGTCGTGGGCATGGTTCCTGTGAAGTATGAGAGGTCCTTATTGAGGAGGGAAATTGACTGGATTTGGAGGTTGAACACTCTAGCCCTTTGGGGCTAAGTGAAGAAGTAGATTTCTTGCTCTTACAAGAGCCCCCACTACTTTGCTGATTATCTCACTGTCCTTGACTCATCTGGCAGCTGAGAATAAGTAGATTCCATCCCTTTTGCATTTGCATTTTGGAGTAATGTTGGAGCTGGTAGAGACCAAATGATATGGCTAAAGTCCTAAAAGCTTGGTATGCATCTTATATGCTGTCATTAAGCTGTACCGGGAGTTTATGGAGCTCATTATGTGCATATATACTATTATATTGTTAACTGTATAGATAAGGAAAAAAAGTTGTAACTGTCTCAAGCCAGCTGTTTCTAAATTAACATATATTTCCATTTTATACTTAGCTCCTGAAGAAGGCCACCACTAAAATGTGTCGAGCCTGAGCTTTTTAGATAAGAATAAAGCCTGCATTGTCAATACTTTTAGACATCTTGAGACTCAGTTTCCCATTTGCATTTTTGCCACCAGATGTGCCAGTTCCCTCTATTTTGTATTTGGACAATGGCAAGAAGAACAGACGGCTAAGGTGTCTGCATTACTTCGTGACTAGAGTCAAGTGATACAGAATACTAATTTTGAGGAGGATATTTGGGAAGATAGCATTTTCGGAAGAAACTCTACCTCAGAACCCAACAGGGGTCTGATGCAGGTAACACAGAACTAGTGTGTTAAGCTCTCAATGGGATGAAATCTAGGCATAATCCACATTTCACAATGGTGTTCTTTAACTTCCCAGAACAATTATCTATAAAATCCAGTCTTTGATTTTGCCCCTACTAGGTACAGATGAATGACGATGCAGTTTCAGTTTATTTTAATTAATCATTTAAAATACTAACTTACTTGCCACTTAGGTTGGAAAGAGGTGTGTTGTTTTTTTTAAGTGGATGTGGGAAAACCTAAACCGACAGATGGTATCCACCCATGTCCAGAGTTTTGTGTGCTCAGCTCTAAAAAGGTCCAAGTTGTTATCCTAGTTTCTCCCATCATATTAGTGCTGAATGAGGTTGCCACTTCTTTTTTTCTTAGAGGCTTTTAACTGCCTCCAGATACAACATGGTCCCCTTCATCTAGAGAAAGCCTATACTTTGGCTGGTTCAAATGATGAAGAATTTTACTCCACTTTGATTTTAAATGATTTATCAACATATACATGTTTTTTAATAATTATTGTGTGCTGTCAAGTCAATTCTGACTTATGGCCTTTTCAGGATTTTCTAGGTAAAGAATACTCAGAAGTGATTTATCATTCCTTTCTTCTAGGGGCTCCCTGGGTCTGCACAGCTTGCCCAAGGCCGCACAGGCTGGCTGTACTTTGCAGGAGGAACACTGGGGACTTGAATTCCCAGCCACTGGCTCTGCAGCCAGATACCTACCCTGTTTCCCCGAAAATAAGACCAACCTGAAAATAAGCCCTACTATGATTTTTCATAATCATAGGACAAACGCTGGCTCTATAGCTTGGAAACAGGGATAAGCACCGCACCCTAGAGTCCGACACAACTGGACTAAATGTCAAGGGGAACCTCTACCTTTACCTTACGATTTTTCAGGATGTTTGTAATATAAGCCCCACCCCCCAAAATAAGCCCCAGTTAAGTGAAACTCCGCCCTCCACCATTGTGCAGCAACCAGAAGACAATGACATGACTGTATTTGAATAGATGTGGATGGTTGTACATGAAAAAAAATAATAAAACATCCCCTGAAAATAAGGCCTAATGCTTTTTTTGGAACATAAATTAATATAAGACCCTGTCTTATTTTGGGGGAAACACAGTAGCTGTCCAGCCAACTTTTGTTTTTTTTCCATATTCAGAACAAAAATAACTTAAGTGTGTAAAGAAAAATAGATGGGGAAAAATGCAAAACAGACAGATTTCCCTCTCTCTGTAACCAAGTCATGGTGTCTTTCGTCCGGGTGCATTTTTCTTGCTTTCTGTGACCAAATGGCAACAATTCTGTTAAGCTCGGATGGTAAATGAAAGAACTTTCTTGCCTACAGTAGAAATGCTTTCATTATAGGCCATGACATTATGATTATTGTAAATTCATAACTTGAAATAGTCATGATTACAGGATTACAGGATTTATTCAATCAAAGGGCTCTCCCATTTATTGGCCTTTGCCTATTAAAACGCCAGCTTTCAAACTTAATGCATGTAAAGTCTTGTTTCCATTTGTAGCAAAGGCAATTAAGGAACTAAATACTCCTGTTGCATAGTTGCTGGAAGACTTTGCTATGAAGTTAACTGCATGATGTCAACCTGTAGCCATTCCTGCAGCCTCTGTATACGCGACTGCTGATGGAGGAATGTGACAGAAGGAGCAGACAGCTGCTAGCAGAACAGGGCAATGTCAGAAGCTAGGTCAAAGGAAGCTGTCTTCTCTCAATTAAAAAAGAAGCTGCCACACCTAGGTAAGTGCCTTGGAAAGAGCCATGTGGAGGCCATAACATGAGGCACGGGATAGCCCTGGATTTCTCAGAGCCTTATTGGGGGTTTTGTAATTGTTTGTCATGGCAGCCAGTATTTCCTGGAACATAATCTGTGTGCCATGATCTCTCCTGCCAAGCAGAGAGCCAAGGAATGTCAGTGGGACACTTTCTGCAGTTCAGCTCTCCTACTGCAAATGAGATGGTAAACCTGCTTCTCAGCTGTGCCCATTCACACTGCAGGTGAGGACTCACATATTTAATTGGCTTTTCATATTTGCCTTTAAAAAAACTCTTCCACATATTAAACTAAACAATAAGAGGAAGTGCAATCTTCTCTCTGACACACTAGTTAAAATTAACTTGATGGCACATAAGAAAAACACACAGATAGTAAACTATCACCCAAGTTATAGCAACCCTAATAGGGTTTTCAAGTTATGTGAGATACACCAGGACCCCTATATCTGTGGGGAATTGATTCCAAACCCACCACCACAGATGCTGAAAAAAGGGGACACTATTATACTAGCAAACACATGTTCTCTAGCTTCCTGTCGTGGCTATTCTGGTAATGACATCATGGAAATATAGTTCTCTAGCAAACACTATACATAGAGTGATCTCTGGCTCTAGTGGCCGGTTCTGGTAACTTCATCATTAAAATATATATTTTGAGAATTTTTCTTTTAATATTTTCAATATTTTCAGATGGTGGGTAAGTGAATCAGTGGATACTGATCCCTCAGAGAAAAGGGTCATACTGTATTTAATTGAGGATTTACCAGTTCCACTCCCCCAATGAGTTTCCATGGCCAAGCGGGAATCTGAATGCAAATTTTCTTTGTCCTGGTCCAACAATTCATCTACTGTACCACTTTGTGTCTCTTAATTACTTGGGTCTAGGATTATTTTCCTGCAGAGAAATGATTAGCCACATGGCCTTTCCAACAGCTTTTATGAAGTAGAACAAATCCCTGCTATTTGTAAGAACCCACCATCAGTTCATGTTGGTTAGTGACAAAAGCTCACTGTCAGGATTTTTTTTTGTGCATCACCAAAACGAAGGGAAAAAGAGGAAATGATTTTGCATTTACAAACTGTATTTATATGTAAAATTAGAAATACATTAACATACAAGTCAATTAAAACATGGCTGTATATTCAGGCCTTCCCTCCAGCTAATATCTTATCTTTCTTTTCATTTTTATTTTACTTATTTCTTATTCTGTCTTTGTATTGTATTTGTTATTGTATGATTTATGTAATATTTTGAGTTATTGTACTGTTCTATGTGATATTGGAAGCCACCTAGAGTGGTCTTATAGACCAGATGGGCGGGGTACAAATCAAATCAAATCAAATCAATCAATCAATAAAATACATTAAATTTAAAAACAATGCATCTAACCCTAACAGAGGAGATTGTGGGCAGATGAACTTTGTAGCTGCTCAGCCTGTTATCCACATGGTGGCTATTGATAAGCAATTTTGAGGCTCCAATTCTCTCTTCTTATGGGATTTGATTTCAAAATGAAATATAGACTGCTCATCTTTTCAGAGATGGCACCTTCAAACAAAGGACGATGCTCTGTAAAGGAAGATCTCTGGCCACTTACCTAGAAGATAAGTCAGTGTGCTCCACAATATGCATGGTTTCTATAGCACAGAATGGGAATTTGAAATGTTTCTTTGATGACAGGAAATCTACTAGCAGGTGGGTGCCTGGGACAAAAACCAATTGACTAAGGCCCAGTTTCCCAAAGTGTGTGTCATAGCACCCGGTGCCCCTTGCAGCTCCCTGGTACACTGCCAAACCAGCCAGGAGCAATGTGGAAACTTTTCTTTGATTTCCCCCCCCCCAAGCAGGTAGCGGTGCTGCTGCTACTGCTCTTCCACCACCAGCACCAGCTCCTTCGTGCTCATTTGCTTCCTGCTCCACCCTGCACCCCTTGCTGCTCTTCCTGCTCTATTGCTGCCACTGCTGTGCCTACAGCAGCCATGAGTGGAAAATAAATTGGGAACCACTGGACTAAGGAGTAAGGAGTTAGTCCCTTGGTTACTGAACTAGAGCATGAAGTGGCAATGGAGAGGAGTGGCAATGGGATTAAGGATGTGAAGAAATTTCGCCATTTGTATTGATTTCAGCTGAAGCAGACTGCCTTGAGGTTGTGGGACAGCCTGCTGAGAATCCTCTAACCCCCATGAAAGATCTTGTTTCAAGTGCAAGAATGAGCTATACTGCACAAAGACAAAACAAGTTTTACATCCCTGATGGGAGTCTGATTTAAAGGATGGTGCAGGAGAGACACTTTATTTTATCTTACATTTTTTATACAAGAGGTGATACTGCTTAAATATCGTGTGATCCCTGGATGTGGGACTAAGATAGAAATTGACCAGGAGATCAACATTAACAAGGTTAACATTTCCCTTTTCTCATTGGAAAACTGAATTTTGACTGGGGATAAAATGCATTTGTGTTGGAACTTTTGGATTTGAGTCTGAAATCTTTTACTGGCAAATGTGTCTGCATGGGGAAAATAATTCTAAAAATCAGCTGCAGTCTTCAACTGTGGCTTCACAGAGATGTCAAATCCTTACTTCTCAAAGGAATTTTTCTATAAAGAGTGTTTTTTTTTTCTGTGCAGCATAAGATTCTTCTTATTCTGTAAATGTGTGTGTATTCCCCAAGGTTCCTAAGAACACACAACACTCGCTTCCTGATGATATCACCACCATCAAATGAATTTTGCTGGGTGATAACAGGAACAGTGCTGAAGATACACTGGCTGTACTGGAAATGTGACAAAACAATTTAACCCAGGGGCTAAAAATGTGTAAAGCTCCAAAACAGACAAGGCAGTTGAAAAAGAAAATAAGTGATATTAAAGCCAGTCAGTACAGTTGGCCGAGACAAGGTCAGATGACCTAAAATAGTTTTGCTCCCAGAAAGATCCTCACCATAGTGAATGAAAGGATCAAAGCAACTTGTAGCACCTTAAAGCAACTTCAAGACAAAAAGTTGCATTTGGCATACATGATTGCGTTCTGCAGCCATTTCATCAGATGCTGTGTAGTCCATGAAAGTTTATATCAGATAAAATGTGTGAATCTTTAAAGTGCCACAAGATTCTTTGTTACTTTTGCTGCAAAATGGAACATACTCCTCCTCTGCAGGATATTTTTTGTCATAGGAAGTATACAACAAACTGGCTCTTGCTAGGTTTACTAAGAGGTTGAAAGGAAGAACAGAAGTAGGTATGGCCTGTGGATTGGGGCACGGGGTGCCTCACTTTTGAATTTCAGGGCGCACCCCCATGACCCAGTTAAAAGCTATTTATTGACAGATCTTCACCTTTCTCAGGGCACCACCAAAAAAACAGCATCACTGTGTCACATTCCCTCTCTGCCCAAGGCCACATGAAACACTGCACTAATTATTTTTGTGGCATCGATACATTGTATGTTTCCCATACTGGCCCCCTATCACTGGAAGCCGGTGTCCAGCAGGGTAAAGAACAAAGTGATAATGTGAACATAGGTTGTACTGGTGTTATTTAGGAGAGATAAATAACTGTGATGTGGAAATGCCATTTTCTGCCACAGCTTACTATTCTATATAAGGTGTAGTTCCGAATTAGAGATGCTCCACAGACCATATAGCAGTCAAAATATGAAATTTCTAGTCTAGTCTTTTAATTACGTAGTTTGTTAAGATAATGTTCACAGATGTGACCTAATTAAGAGTCAAACTTTTATAACTTAGAAAATATGCCTTTGTAACATTTTTTATGAATACTTTTGTAACACTTTAGATATATTTTGAAAGTTCCATATTAATTTTTGTTAGAGCAAGTTCTCACTTAGTTCATTGTTATACTCACACTCTTTTAACATTGTACTGATTTTATAGATCGTTTTTGGATATTCAATAGATAGCAGCATAACACATTTATACTGCTTGCATATGCCTATTCAATAAAAGGAAGAAAAGTAGAGACTTTTTTTGGACATTCAGTTTATCTGTCTTGCGTGGTGAACATAGATTAGATGGATATTCAGAAGAAGGGAGAATTGCACAAGATGCAAAAATATTCCTCTGGGTCACACTGTGACTTTCCCATTTGAAATAAATGCCAGCTGTGACAAACACTGGCTTCTGATTTTTCCCTATAAAGTTCTGTGAGACTCATAGGGAGAAGTTCAGACCTAACTTGATATAGCAAAGACAGTAAACCTATTCCTGGACTGTACCACATTAGACAACACGTACAAGTCACATGACTGAACACTTCAACCTAAATGGAAATATGCCACCCTGAATTTAAAAAGTCACATGTTAGGAAAAAGAGCTTCTTATTGACCACCCTCAATCTGAAATGCTACTGTTGATCAGTTAGAAGCCTCGGGTTTTCAATGTGCAATGACACTAATGGGAACGGGATACAAATTGAATAAATAAAAAAATATAAATAAATTAGAAAAATCTAGGGGAAAAAGATACAGGTGGAGGGGACAGAGTCTTACACTCTTATTTCTGGCATTTTTATACTGCCTCACTTAGTGAAAATCCACTACTCTGAGCAGTCTTGCAACAAAACATAAAACTTTCCCAACTTTCCCCCATCCTCAAAATTAAAGAAATAAACAAACAAGCAAACCAATAAAATTCCAGGCAAATAAATAGACAACGAAAACGACAATGATGACGACAACAACAAGAAGAACAACAGTAACAACTCTGCATGGTGGCAACACTCCTTAATAGCAAAGAGGGGGAGTATGTCCTTGAAGGCTTCTTTAAAAAGTTTGGTCATTCGGCAGGAAAATAAGGAATTATGGGAGGCTTTAGCATGTACTCCAATTAGCTGAGAAATGGAACAAGACTGATAGTTTTTCATGTCTGTTGATATGGAAAAGTTCCAAATATCCCTTCATGAAGGCCAATTCACAAAGTTATGTACCAGAAAATGAAATGATTAAATCCATACATGGCACCATCATTTGTAAATGGTACACAAATTTAAATGGATTTGACATCTCAAAGCTTACGTGAGGGGGCCCAGGTTTCTGCTAGTCACCACTTCCATACAGACTGAAAGGAACTGGGAGTTCTTAGCTGCACCTGTTCCATTTGCAGTCTATGGCACTTGCACATTTGGGCAGCCTTTCAGCATACCCCCAAAATGTGAAAGATGAATCAACTTGCATATGCAGGGCACAATCAGTCAGGAACCTGTGAGGTTTGTTTCTCTTCAGTTCCTCTTCTCTACTGTAACTGAATGTGGATAAGAAAAGTTAACTTCTTTTGAATGACAACTTCAAGGGTACTGCAGACAGCATAGCTGCAACTATAGTCTCGAAAAATAATTTCCTCTGTCTCTGTTTAAAAACAATAATGATTGCATTTCTACCACTCCCCCCCCTGCCCATTTCTCTAGTAATTTCCTGTGGACTGAATGTTAGATTATTAGATCCTTAAGGTCAGGGATCTGTCCTCTTGAACTCTTTTCTGCACTATATACTGTGGGCACTACGCACTATGGTATATGAATGTATGCATGATTTGCCTGCTTGTGTGTTTACTACATTACTCTGAGAAAGAGTGGCAATATGGTGGCATTTACCCCACAAAGGATACATAAAAAAACAAAAAACAGAACCAACAGCTAATAAATGCATCCAGTTTCCATGGAAGAGAAAAACTGCTCTTTCAGCATCATTCACACACTGCTTCCCAAGATATTTCACAGTTTTAAAATCACCTTTACAGACCACAAATAAGGGGTATCAGTAGTTTTGCACACAGAGAAGTGTCAATATTCCAACCTGGGTGGTTAAAGAATGGCCCTGAACGAATTGGGACCTAGAAACATGCTAATTAATATGCCTGACAGTGTGAATTATCTAGGTGATTGGGCAAAATCACTCAGCTACAGAAGGAGATCTCCTTCCTGCTGCCAAACCCTTTGTCCTTTTGCTTCACAAGTAGTTCTGTTACAGCATAACTTCCCAATGGCATCTTGGGAGGGCCCCCTATCTGGGATTGCCAGTTGAGCAGCTTCTTATTCGGGGGGGGGGGAGGCAGGAATGACAGCTGGGAGCAGAACTGCTTCTGTGCCAACTGTCTATGGAAAAGGACAGAGAGATAATCCAGGTGACTCAGTCTGGATAAATGACAATCAGGTAATATGATAACCTAAAACTGGGAGGAGGTGAGACAATGTATCACACATAGTCTTACCCACCACACATCCACTATCTTCCTTGCTCCAAATGGCAGGATATACCCAAGTGCATGCACTGCAATGCTAGCTGAGAAAGAGCAGCAGTGGCTTCTCAGGCTTTAAAATCACTTCACATACAACATTTCACCTTTCTCTTCCTCTGGCACGGCTCACTGTAGGATCTGTTTTCCTACTTGTAGATCTAGAGAAGCACAGCAATCCCTGATACTTCAGCGGGCAGCTTGGTATCTGACTTAGCAAGGGGAAAGTAGTGCTTTAATCCTGCAGTCCTGCAGTGCTTTGATCCCTGCTTTCTCCTCCACTTGCTAACCCCTGTTGGGGGGGAAGAAAGTGGAGGGGGAAAGCAGGGATGAAAGTGTTGCAGGATTGCTTTGATCCCTGCTCTCCCCTCCACTTGCTAAGCACCATGGGGCTTATCAAGTGGAGGGGAAAGCAGGGATCAAGGTGCTGCAGGATCTCTGCTTTGTTCTCTCCGCAGCTTTCTTCTGTGTATAAAACAACCCTCAATTTTTAGTCTAAAGATTTTAGACAAAAGTATTGTCTTATACACGGAAAAATACAGTAATATGCAGCTCTGAGGAAACCCCAGGCCTGAAGGACAA